AAAAAAAAAAAAAGCAGACTGATGTTCTAGCCCTAAAAAGGGCTTTTTGGGGTGCTGTCCTCACAGCAGAGATCAGATGAGTCCTTCAGGACTGTAGTGGACACTGTATACCCTAACCTAGCTATGCATTTCCCTATCTAATCAACAGCAGCTACACTTTCCCTCCTCTCACTAAGCATGCAGCTTGAGAATGAATGTAAAATGGATGCCGTCCAGTAGGTGGGAGGGTCTGCTAGGGAGGGTGTGCTGCTAATTGGCTGGAATGTGTCTGCTGACTGTGAGGTACAGGGTCAAAGTTTACTCAATGATGACGAATAGGGGGCGGATCGAACCGCGCATGTGTTCGCCGTCCGCGGCAGACGCGAACACGCTATGTTCGCCAGCGAACCGTTCGGTGCATCACTAGTAGTAAATAATACTTTAAACCATGTAATACATAACAAGTAGGATTTTTAGTGCTTGTATAAAGGTGGATAGACCACTGGAACAATCCAAACCAGAGTCTCGTCCTTCTAGTGGTGGTTACAAAAACGAACACTTTAAAAACCTACTGCCATGTAAAACGCGTTACTGTATCTTACTTATATGTTTTATTTCAAATAAAAGTTGCTACTTTATACTTACCATGGACCCTCAAGTTGGTTTTTATAAGATTTTATTCAGAGGACACTCTCTTCTAATTCCTTGGTGGGGAACATACCACCTATGCCAGAAGGATTGAGCAAAGCCAATCTTTGCTCCCTCTTTGTGAGTATCTCTCCTTTTATAATTTTTATCATCTTTTATCAGAGTATGCTATATTTTGTTTTATTCTCCACATTATTCATATCAGTGACCTGCTGCTATCGCACTTATAAGTAAGAACATCTCCCCACGTCTTTTGGCACCCTATTTCCACACACCTGCTGCTGGCTACTAGCCCAAGATCTGACCAGACCAGGACTACGTATAGGCAGGGTTCATACCGCCTAGGTGATATCATTTTTGCTATTTAGAAGCTCCAGAAACTTGTAAGTGCTTTCCTTTATTCTTCTATCAACTACAAATGCATCCTTTATTCTTCTATCAACTACAATTGGCCCATTGTGGGCCTCGTTTCTTTTATCTTGCATGTTAATTTGTATCTAGGGACCCGACCAAGGCACTGCTACCCTTCCACCACTACTTTAAACCGTGTCCAAAAGAAAAGGGAAATTGCGGCCAAGTTCTCTACAGCCTTAATAACCTGTATCTTGAGTCCTCATACATCTATATATGAAGTCATATATAGCTGGGTATTCTACAAGGTGGGAGATGATTTGGTATATGATTATTTATTTAAAATTTATTTCTACACACCTGAATTTTTCTTCTTCTCTCCAATCATCCTCCCTTTCCCCAAACTCCCCCACCCCAGACTCATCTCCTCCCCCTCTCAAGTAGAATAGAGAGAAAGCCAGGGGGAGAAAAGGGAAAACATTTGGAGGAAGAAGAGAAGAAAAATTTTATCACAGCTCTAATATTTTAAATATGGGTATAATTCCCTTTTGCTTAAATCTCTCCAGTGAAAAATGATGATGTAATCTTTTTTTAACCACTTTTTTTATGACGCCCCTACTTAAAATTTACATTCTTACTTACGATCATCAATTCACATCACAGAAATCATATGAAAATATGATTATTTAACCAGCTTTAAAAAGAGAAAAAAAAAATACAGAAAAACAGCTCACTCCCCTACTATCCTTAATATGTTTATAGTTCTCTCTTACTTTTTTTATTGATATATTCACAGTTTACAGAAAATATTTTTTTTGGGGGAAAAAAAGACAAACTTATCACATACATATGACAAACATATAAGTAACTTACACAATTATAAAACATTAACATATAGTTCCATGCAGTGTTGATCTAGTTAACCCCAAAGTTACGGGGAGAAAGAGGTAACAATATATTTTCCAGAATTAGTTTTCTCAATGTTATGGAGAGGATTTCAGTCATAAATTCCATAAATAGTTATATTTGTTCAATGTATGATCATTGATGTAAACTTTCCCTCACAACCTGCAATCACTGCTTGAGTTACACTAGCAGATATCTGAAGTTCCAGTGGCACTCCTGATAGGCCGAAGCCTGTTTCAATATAAAAATAAAAGTTAAGTGGAGCAAAAGCAGAAAAAAAAGAAAGAAAGAAGGAGACAGTTTACTGCTTAAATGCACTAACGTTAGATGGGTAGAGAGGAATAGGGAGCCTGTTTCACTGACAGCCTTGAGTGCCATGCATGTCAAACGTACCATACGTTGCTGACCCCTGAACTACATTTAGCTTTAAAAATACTGGCAACGCAATTTAGTATATATACCTCCCATAAAAATATGCACATTTTCTTTAAATGTATATGAAAAAAAAAAGCTTTCAAGAGCTGCAGATGAGATGTTGGTGCATTGGCCGGGAATCTCATCGTTCAACGGTAGCTGAGAGGCAGAGGCGTGAGACGGTCTATCTTTGCCCACGTTCTCTACGGCTGCACCCCTGAACTTCTGCGTGGACCTCCCTTCGTCTCGGCGCCACTGGTCTGTTGTCCAGGAGATCATCGGCCTCTACGTAAGAAGTGCTGGGGTGTCCCCGTCGATGAGTGTGAACTCAGGTTCAGGAACGAGGAGGTAAGACAACTGCTGTTTTAGACGGCAGACCCACTAGGGGTATACCGATTGTGCGGTAGGCCCAAAAGGGGTTTAAATCTGTGTATGGAATCTGCCCCCTCTGTCGGAGGGAAGGAGCGAAGGCGCACCGCTCGATCGAACGCTCTTTAGTAAGACCGTTTGATCTGGTTAGTCAGGCGGGGTCCTGTGTAAATAGCCCTAGCCGGACACCGGTGTCTTGTCTAGACTAGCGTTCTAGGGTGTATATTACGCTCGCTAGGTCGGAGGAACCGGGAGACTAAGCGGCGCCTGTGTAAATTCGGTTCGCTAGCTCTCAACCTATCTTGGCTAAGTGGGAAGGCGTGTAAATTTGGAACCCACTAGACTTTTGATAGAGTAAATAGACTAGAAGGGCAACTTTGTAAATTCTGCCCTCTAGTTCGCTATATGTGGTGCTTGGGCAGTGTGGCTAACCAAAACGGGTGTATATAGTTTTAGGTAGTCCATTCAAGGTACTGGCCAATAGTTTAGTTGGGATTGTAAATGTGTTAAAGATTGTTAGTAAAGTGTATATCTTGTTAGATAGCGCGAGCTCAGCCGTCTAGCGAGAGTGTTAATAGTGTGTTGCTGTATCATAGTGCACGGTACCATAACCCTGTATATTTACTGACACTGTATATAAGTACTAATCATTGTCGTCTATTGCATGTTTAACACCGTAACCACTAATAATTGTATTGTGACCTTAAATTGTGCTTTGACCTATGCTAACCGTACTGTAACCGATACTAGTAAAAGACGATGTTACTGGGGTGTGTTATAGACGGGTAATTCATATATAGAGAATTATAGCGTGGGTGACTGTATAGTTTCGCCAAAGGGCATAATATTGATTATTTAGTGACTGGTGTAACAGCTGTGTGTGTACGGGAATTCCCTGAGTGATTATTGTGTTATTGTGTACGTTTCACTCGGTAACTGTACCACGTGGTGCTGTTGCCAGAGGAAACGGGTGTGACTGTTGAATAAGAACGCGTGCATAGTATTCGTTGTCAACGACGTTCCATTGATAAGTATGGGCGCGTCA